ACCGGAAGGCAGCCACCCGTGCCAAGAGATTAGGGTTTTATTTATATTAAAAGTGAGAAAAATGTATCCTTACCATTTTTTTCAAATTTCAATCATTGTTTACGACACATTTTCTCCCAAACTTCCAGAGTGTATGTGTTTTTTTTTTTTTTTTTTTTTTTTTTGCAGACAGGCTCTTGTCTAGTCAAAACAAAACAACAACAAAAATACCAAACCTGTTGTTTAATACGATAAAAGAAAGGCCCTATGTGGGGTACTGTTTGCAAGTCTGCAGTTTCCTGGGTACCACTCTGGGAATCTGACTCAGCAGATCTAGGTGGGACCCAGGAATCTGCATTTTAACAAATCCTTGGTGTTTCTGAAGTCGTTAGTGACCTTTCTGCTGTACCGACCACTCTCCAGACAAAAATGGCCGGTCTGAAATCACTCTAAATGTAAAACTGATTCCCTTAACCTACATATCTGCTTTAAAAAAAAAAAAAAAGTTTGATTTGCTATTTTATAGGGTTGGAAGTGTCGCTGGGGAATTGGGCTTGGGGTTAGGACTGAGAGGTCCAGAAGTTGATCGTCAGCACCACAAAATGAACAAGCAAAACTTTTAGTATTTGGAAAGCCAAGTGAGAAAAGACTTCACCTTCAACTAGTGGTGACAGGCTTTGAATCTTACCCTGGGAGCCCTACAAAAGTTCACCTCTGGGCAAATTCCTCATCTGTAAAACGAGAAGAACACCTGTTTTGCTGAGTCCTTGAGGGAATTAAACATGATAACTCAACAAAAGGTAGTCCTTTTCCCACGGTGGGTGAGCCAGTGCCCTGAGCAGCAGACAAGAGTGGGGTCCACAAGTTAGAAAAATGCCCGGTGCATTGGTTCAAATACCCTGCTTTCCCAAAAGAACAAAATCTGGAGATGAGCAATCCCACCGAGGAAGCTGAGGCATCAGTTTACCAATAACCAGTGCAGGCCAGCGGGCGCTTTCTTCTCACAGGTATTAAGGACCTGGGGCTGATTGCACGGAATTTGTTGATTTAAAGCAAAACAAAACAAAGTATTTGTACGGTTTGGAGCCGTGGTCGCTCCACTTTCTGTCGCCCTCGGAACCAAGGCCAGTTCTCTGCAGGTCAGAGCGTTACCCCAGATTCACTTCCACCAGAGGGTGGACCAGAGCTTCCTCCAACTCTCACAAAGTCAGACGCAAAGCCAGGCCCTGTCCGCTTGCCTAGTGAGAGATCGGCTGTGCGCGGGAGGGAAAGCCCAGCGTCCCGCCCCGTCCCACGCCACGCTCTCTGCACCCGCGGCTCCCATTATACCTGCAGCCCCGAGGTCCCGCGCTGGTGTGCGAGCATCAGCAGAGGAGCTGAACCTTCCCAGGGCCTAGGAAGCGCCTCGGCCCCTTAGGGCCCGCCGAGGAGGGTCTGCCCATCCCCCGGCTTTACGAATTTCCCTCTGAATCACCAAAAGCACGCAGGCACCGCCGCGGGGCTGGCCGTAA